CAGGGAATGGGTAAAAAATAAGAACCAAGATACATCATGTACAGGTACAAGCACCCAATGATAAATGTAAATGTATTTTATGCCTAAAATGTACCAATAAAAGAATTTAAGCAAAAAGAAAAAATCACAAATAAGTTAGAAAAGAGAAAACACATAGATGTAAGAGTGACTATAAATAGAAAGAAAAAAATAAAGAATTCATGTGGTGAGTGTAAAAAAAAATATTGCCCCTAAATAGTTCATGGCTGAATTTTGTCAAAAACAAATGACAAATGAGTCACCCATAGGTACATCATTTAAATGGAAGAAAGAACAGCACAAGATCTTTGTCACTCTGTCTAATCTTGAAGTGTTCCCATAAGGAACATACAGTGAACTGAAAAAAAGTGAAATTATTTCAAGTAGTCCTGTGTTACTGCAGACACTGATAAACATTATGATGGGGATTGGGAGTAGAGCTCAGTGGTAGACTGCTTGCGCAGCATGCATGATGCCCTGAGTTCCATTCCCACTCCAAGAACAAACAAACAAACAAAAAGAACGAAAGAAAGAAAAAAAACTAAAGAAAAAGATTTTGATGAATGAATGTTTACCAAAAACAAATATGGTCTGGATTACATTGCAGCTTACTTCAGAAAGCCAATTGAAGGATTAAAAGCAAAAGTTATAACCAAATAAGATGATATTGATATTTATAAGAAATATCAAATACAATAAAATGAATATAGAATGAGAAGGCTAAACAAGTATATGGTTTATTCTCTGCTTTTAAAGGCTCTATCTTTTTAGGAACAGCAAGACAGAGACATAAAAAGAAAATAAAGCCAGCACTGCCAAGTGGTAAAGACAATAAATATCATGGAAATTCAAAGAAACAGGAGACTGCTATGGACTAAAGGAAGTTGGAGACAGTTTCTTGGAAAAGCTAGGGCTTGAACAAAATTAAGTAAGTGGAGAAAAGAAGGCAATCCCAAGCATACAGACAACCTTGTACAAAGATGAGACAGAAATGCACAAAATATAGGTGAGGGACAGGGGATTGACCCAGTTGGGTCAGACCCCAGAAGGGTCTGTTTAGGAGGGTTTGTAGAGACAAGGTTGCAATAATAAATGGGAACCACACAGTGAAAGCCCTGAATGCCAAGCAAGGATGCTTAACTTTGTCCTACGGATAGAAAGATCCTTTGTAGGTTATAAAGAACAGTAACCAAAAAAAAAAAAAATTCCTCTAATGATGCAATTTGAAGCCATTTTTCTTGAAGCCTTCGAAGAATACATCAAGTGGTGTAATACAGTATCTTGACAATAGAATCACAAGCATATGAACACATTGTTTAGGAAATGTGGTCAAAGTGAAGGAGTAAACACTCAAAAGTGCTTTCCAAAAATACGAAGCCAGGTATTGATTATGCATTCATAGATCTTAGGAAAATGCCTAAGACAATCACTGAGTGGAAAGCTTCGATTTTAGTTTTTCCTCCTCTCTCCATCCTCTTCCAAAACACATACTTTCCTTTAATCTCTACAAACTAAATATAGTGAAATTGTCCTGTCCTGAAAAAAAGGTGTTTTACTACTTCTTATTGTGAGTGAATTTACTTACTATATTCTTTTAAAATCAGTGCGTCTATTAAAAAAATTTAACATGATTTATTTCGGCAAAGTAGATGAAACAAACACATAAATGGTAAATTTAAAGATTATGGAAAGCCAAAAACCCTTTCATCAAACCAAAACATAGCTAAAATAAGCAACATTGATTTATAAAGCAGAAGGGAAAGACAAGTGTGTTCCTAACAAAAAATGCCAGCCACAACAAAGACTGACTGAGAGTATACGAAGAACATTACAATAGCCAATTTCTTACCTAAAATGACAAGCCATTAATCCACAACTTCATAAAAAATGGAGGTATTTGTTCAAAAAATGCCCTTAAAATTTTTGGCTCTTTCTGCTATAAAAATAAAGACTCTAACATAACTCAAAACAAAGATTATCTTCCCCCGGAACCAGTCATGTAAATGATTGATGATTTAATTTGCTACTAAAGCAAATACTAATTTAACCACCACTACCTTCTCAACACTAGGAAAATTCAAAACCTCAGTCTTTAAAAGCATTCGTGACAAGAAAGAAACCAAGAATATCCAAGGATGATTAAACCACATGCAAAATAAGAACACAGACGAACCATAGCAATATTGCTTCCGTGCTCCTAAAAGGGCTAAACCATTCTCGCAGGCTCGTATGCCTTTAAGGAATATGCAGAGATTATGATTTTATGCATTGTCTGTTCCCCACCCCCAGCCCAGAGGAAAGATGGGAACATTCAGGAGAGTTGAAAGAAGTGCGCTAAAGAAGGTGTCAATATGTCAATACCTCCCTCCCACCGATACCCGGAAACTCGCTTTAACAATAATGCTCTTTGACTCCTAACATCCCACCGGTTTCCACACATCCTTCAGCCTCCTTCCGCACCCACCCCTGCTCCCCGCTCTGCTGCGCTGGTTCAGGAGAACCGGCTGCTCGACTTCGGCAATCTCGCCGCCCCCGCGAACCCGCCCAGACCAGCAACAACGCGGCCACACAGCCGCCCGCCACCCTCACCGCCTCCCCGCAGCCAGCTTCCCTTCCCCCGGTCCTGTCACCTGCTTCGGTGGTGTCCGTCAGGTCGTAGCCGCTGCCCGGGAAGTCTCGGAGTTTCCTGCCGCTGAGACTCAGGATGCCGGAGCTGCCCGCCTCCTCCAGGGCCCGGTCCAGGCTCCTCACCGTGTGCTGAGGCTGTAGGCTGCCTGGGTTCCACTGCGGCCCATTGGGGAACGGCTGAGCGAAAAGAGTCGGGACCGGGATGGGAACCGCCAGGGTCCCGCCGCAGCCGCCGCCGCCGCCTCCCCCTCCGGCCCCGCCACCTCCTCCTCCTCCTCCGGCCGCTCCACTGCCACCGCTACTTCCACCTCCACCACAACCGCCGCCCCCGCTGTTACCACCACCTCCCTGACTCGCCGCCATGTTTCTGGGAGAGAGAATAGCCCCCGACAATACTCTCAGCCGGTGCCGCGAGTGTGGGGGGTTCTTATGACGCATGCGCAGAGTGGGGATGGGGGGGTGAGGTAGAGAGTGGGAAGGAACCAGGGGGCGGGCTGCGAGGAGGTGTTAAACTGGGAAGAGATGATGTACGAAAGTGCAGAAAATTTGCTTTAAGAAAAGTGTGATCAGAAGAAGGATGCTAAGTCCCGGTTCCGCTACTTTGGGTACCAAAATCTTGCGAAGACACCAAGCTGACTATAGGTCGTTTGGGCGATATGTCCCCAAAACTCTTTTAAATTGTTTTGCCTTTTTCGTTCTGCAAAACAAAAACAAATATATGAGATAAAGATGAAAGGGAGTCTTTTCAGAAAGCTTTTTGAAGAACTGTGAGGCAGCTTGCTGAGAAGCTTATTGCAAATGCCTCAGGAACAGAGAGGAACGCTGGGGAGTCATTTGGGGAGGAAAATTAGTGCAGTATCAAGTTTTAGGCATACATGAATTTTGCTATGGTTTAGCATTCCAAAGTAGGAAAAGACTAGATGTTTTCAAGGAAACCTCTTGTTAGGGTTAAGATTCTCAGCCAACTGCTGCCTTCCAAAACTTGGAAGGGTTCTCTACATTTTGTTCTATCACTCTGAAGCTGTGCCAAGATCTCCAGAAGATCTCCAGTTTCTTCTTATCACGTCAGTATCGGATGGTGAAAAACGCTTTGATCCTCAATTTTAAAGGTTAGTTTTGAAATACAGGTTTTGATTTAAGTAGAATTCTGAACATTTAATGCTGGGTGTGTGAAACCAATCAATCTTGGATTTTGGGAGTTCTGTTATTGGAACCTGAAAACATATGCAATGTAGAGGACAAAGAGAAGGAAGTTTACAGTCCTTTATCAGGCATTCAAGACCATCATAATCCAACCCCAAGCTACCTACTGAGGTTTATCACCAGGTCTTTAGGCTGCCAGTCTCAGAGTTCCACTCCCAGTCACAGTCATTCAAGTCTTTTTCACTAATATTCAATTAGTTACTGAAGAAAACTATCAGAATGCTTTGGCATATTCATTTATCATAAATTTCAATATCCTATGTATCTTCTTAGGATCTTTTTGAATTTGGACAGTGTGTTGACAGTCTCATTTTCTGAGAGAAATTACTGGTACACAAAATTTATTTACCAAAGCTATACTTCGTGAAAGAACACAGGAAAATTACAACTTGTCTAAATTGCTTTATAGCCATATTGGTTAATTAAAATGATTATGCTGTGAGAAATTACATTCACCATATTCATGAGCCACAGAAGAAAATAACTGAGAATCATTCTATACAGAGAATTAGCAAGTGAAAATAAATTATTAAAACCCACTGGTGTGAGAAGGGAATGTATCTTATACCTCACCTCTCCTATATTTCATACAAAATCAAGTGCTTATTGAGAACTTCTTGAACTAAGAGGGGAAAAAGAGAAATTAAATTTATTAGAGAAAAGATGCAGAAAGGAAATATTTTAATAATGAGCCTGGGCTGAGGGTGTAGAGTACTTGCCTAGTATGAGTGATATTGTGGGTTCAATCCTCGGTACTGCAAAAATAAATAAGATAATGATAACTAGCCAGTGTGAATTTTTGCAGTCACTGAAAACAATATATTAGACTCCAGGAGAAAGATGTCCTGAGAGTCAGTATACTTGTCAAGTGAAGAAAGGCCATGTATAAACAAATTTAAGAAAGAAAATAATCTTTCAATGAATTGAAAGATAGTCTAAGAAGAAAAATGGAAAGCCTACAAAGTAATCTAGGTATGCCTGAAAATCAGGCAAAATAACACTTCGTAGAGCTCTCTGGCAAGAAACCAAGGTAAAAAGAATTAAAAGATTTAGAAGAAAGGGCATGAAGTATAGAAAATTGCTCCAGCCCCTTAGCTCCCTATGTGATATTTGGAAAAATGCCTTAAAATTTCTGTACTTCAGTGTTAATAGATAATACTGGAAAATAACAACAATAATAATAATGATGGGCCTGGGATTTAGCTCAGTGGTGCTGCCTCACAAGTGCAAGGTCCTGAGTTCGATCCCCAGTAACAAAAAAAAATAATGATGATGATGATGATGATGATGTTTAAATAGAACTTACTGTTTGCCAGGAACTCTTCTAATTGCATTAAGTATATTAAGTCATTTGATTTTCCTAATAATACTGTAATATAGGTACTATTATTCTTATATTTTTATAGATGAGGGAAAATAGTACATACTTCACATAAAAATGTTGTAAAAATAAATAAAGTCACCTGTTTAGAGTGATAAGCACAATATTTAGCATTCATTCATTTCATAAGCATTTATTGAGCAATTATTCTGTGCAAGAAACTATTCTTCATGAAAGTAATACTATATAGTATTAGGTACTA